AAAGAGGGACAGGGAACTGGGGGCCCACCAGTGACCCAGTTTCTCTGGCCAAGTCAGCAACAAGGCCACAAAGTCCAGTCTGGGGGTGCCTCCCACACCCCATTCCTCAATCCCTGGCTCCTTGCCTCCTCTAGGACTAAAGAGTAGAACCTAGATCATCTTTTTCTCTGGGAATCATTACTGGCTGGATCAGGAGAGTTTACAACCGTAGTAGCTACATAGTACTCAGCTACTTCTCCTCCCGAAACAAAAATCCTCCTCGTTGGCTCTGTCACAGCAGAAGAACCCAGATAGCTGCCTCTTCCCCTGCCCACTCCCCGTACCCCATACCACTGTGCTATTTACTTACCTGACCCAGGGGCTCAGATCTAGGCCACTCAAAAGTCAGCATCCTCAAAGTTTTCTCACTCCATACCCAAGCCCCTGACCACTTCTTGGAATCCAAGTGACCCTCTCCACTCACTGCTTGCTCCCTCACCACCTTGGGGCCAGATTTTGCCCTCCACTGTGTACCCACCCCCTCTGGCACCCTTTGGTCCTCTGCCCAAGCCCATTCATACCCCCTGTACCAGAGCTGGCCACTGTCCATTCCTCCTGGTGCTGCTGCTGGTGCTGTAGGAAGCTGATGCGGCGGCGGAAGTGGCGGGGACAATGGGGGCAAGTGAAGGGCCCCTCCTGGGGCGCATGGACCCGCCCATGGCCCTCCAGGCGGGCAGCTGTCCGGAAGGCCTTGCCACAGATGCTGCAGCGATGGCGCCTAGGGTCTGTGTGCGTCCTGCCATGGTTCTTAAGGGAAAGTAGGTTGGGTAGAAGTTTGGGGCAGAGGGAGCAGGGGTAGAGTCCAGTGGTGTGGGCTTTCTGGTGGTTCAGTAGGCTACCGGCATGGCGGTAGGAACGCCCACACTGGGCACAGCAGAAGGGCCGCTCCTCATCTTCAGCCACTATGGACTTTACCCCCTGGCCTCCATCAGCTCTCCCAGCATTCTCTTCTGGGGACCTGGGGGGCTCCGCTAGGGCCTTCTGGGCTTTTCCTTGACCAAGAAGAACCACCTCATCCTCCATAGTCCCAGCTTCGGGATCTATGGCCTCCTCTATTTGGGGTGCCGCCTGACAAAGGCCCCTGGTATTATGAGTTTGCACGTGGCTGGCTAGTTCATGGTGGGACTGAAAGGCCTTGCCACAGTCAGGGCAGGCAAAGGTCTGGGCAGCTATGTGATTATGGCTGTGTCTGTGGCTCTTAGTGGACACAGAATTCAAGAAATCCTTGGAGCAGAGCAGGCAATAGTGACAGTCTGTCTTATGGATGTTGTGGTTCAAAGGGCCTTCAGATTGGCAGTAGGTCTTGCCACAATGGCAGCAGGAAAAGGGGTGGCTCTCTGACTGGAGCTGAGGGCTGCTGTCTCCATTGTCGCAGCTATCTACGTGACTCACACTAGGCTCACTGGGCTGGCTGTTGCCAAGGTGGCAAGGACTCCTGGGGACACTGTCCCCTGACTCATTTTCTGGCTTGTTTAGTACATGAACCCGAGGAACCCAATCTCCAGCATGATTGACCCTGTCTCCTCGCCACCCACCTGCTTGCCCCATGCCCCAGGATACTGGCTCTGTGGCTTCTGAACCTGACGCCCCGATGGGGCTATGACTCTGCTCCTGTGGCCTCATGGCCCCATACTCCAGCTGGGGTACTGACTCAGTACCACCCAATCTGTCTTCTAGTCCCTGGTCATCAGTCAGGTTCCTGTTGCTGCCTTCTGTGCTACTGGGGCCTCCTTGACCACTTTTGGTTTCCTCCTCATGCTCTCGCAGGTGCCGCTCCAGAGAGACCCGGCCAGGGAAGCCCCGGCCACAGAGGGCGCAGCGCACAGCTGCCCGCCGGGATCGCTCTGCTCTTCGTCGTCGGCTCTCTGAATGCAGCCTCTGGTGATCCCTCAAGGCCATGCGGTTGGAGTAGGTCTTGGGGCAGGTGGGACAGCTATACTGGCCTGTCTCATGGCTGCGCCGATGGTTCAGGAGGCTGCCAGCATGGCGGTAGTTCCGCCCGCACTGCCCACACCGGAAGGGCCGATCTTCCCGAGTCAGTTTCCGGGTGCCCCCACCCCGCTGGATGTGGACCCGCTGGTGGCTAGCCAACTGTTTCCGCAGTCGGAAGGCCTTCCCACAGTCACCACAGTGGAAACGCCGGGGATCTGCGTGGATACGCCGGTGGTTCTTGAGGGACATGAGGTTTGAGAAGCCTTTGGAGCAGGCCTGACAGCCAAAGTGGCCAGTCTGGTGGCTCTGCCGGTGATTAATGAGGCTACCAGCGTGCTTGTATGACCGGCCACACACCTCACAGCTGAAGGGCCGCTCAGAGCTGGCCTCAGTCTGGCAGCCCTTCTCTGCAGTCTCTAACCTCAGCTCCATCTCCTCCCCTTTCACAGTGGTCTCCTCCCATGCCTCTTCTTTCACTCTTGCCACCTCCTCTGAGGGCTCCACTTTAAGATCCTCCTGGAACTTCCCCACTTCTGCCTGCCCCAGTCCCTCCTTTGCCACATTCTGGGGCTCACTGCTGCCTCCTGCCTCTGGGATGGGCCCTATCTGGGGCTCAGAGCCTTTGCAGCGTGGGTGGTTTCGCAGATGGTTGCGGTAGGCAGCTAGGTTAGGGTAGCAGCGAGAGCAGACAGGGCAGATGTAGTCTCCAGTCTGGTGGATCTTGCGATGGTTCACCAGGCTTCCACCATGGCGATAGGTCTTGCCACATTGGTTACAGCGGAAAGGACGTGGCTGGGCCTCGAGAG